TGTTGCGTGAAGAAAGCTTTGTCACCTGTACTATTAGTTTTTTTACTGTTTATTTATCAAAGTTGAAATGTTATTGTGCTATGTGTGTGTTGTGGAGGGTTAAATTAATTTATGATATCCAGTCAGCTCAAAATGATACAGGAAGCACTTTAAGGTAAATTTAAATTGAAGCCTTTTCTACTGCTTATCAGTACGTTTTATTTCATTGCAAGGTGACATACAATGTACTCCTAAAAATGAACAACTGTACAGAATGACATTAATGCAAATTATATATGGTCGATATTTTTGTAGCTAAACAAAGTGTACACAGATTTATGCTATATTCAGCTAATATATATATATATATCTATAAACATTGCTTATTAGCAGCAAAACACTGGTTTCAGTCACCAGTATATTTGGAAAAAGAAAAGATATACAGTGCACAGCATAAATGAGTACACTCCCTCTGAATAAATATAAAAGATGTATTTTCTTAATGATCATTAATATAATTCATGGAAAGATGGCAAAATTGAAACATAGTAAACATATACTTAATAAAAACAACAAAATATATGGCAATATTTTCTGTAAGATAAGTAAATTAGCCAATTTTGTTTAAATGAAGGATTGCAGAAATGAGTACACCCTAGATTTAATTCAGAAAATGTATAATATTCTAGTACTTAGTATGTCCTCCAGAACTTAAAGTATACTGCTCTGACCCTTCTTGGCACTGAGTGTACAAGTTCATGACAAATTTTCACATCTGTGCTGTTTAACTCCTGGAGGACATAAAAGCTTTACTACCACTGAACGTCACTGTGGGTAACAAGCACTTCTCTCTGTACTCCTGCTCTAGCAACACCAGAACATTTTGGATGCTGTTAGAGCCGAAATTATTGACTTGGTCTCTTGAGACCAGAGTATGGACTCCCAGAAGTCTCTATTTTGTAAATATGGGCCCTGGAAGAGGTTAAATGAGTTTATTGTGCTTTGGCTACAGTAGGTAATTCTAGTGGTGACAACAACCATGCATGTCACTTCTGCAGGCTGCGTCATACTCTGTGAGATAAAGTGTCACTCTTTTCATAGATTACGTCTGAGTATGATTCAGTGGGCTATATAACACTTTTAATTGTCAGGAAATTACTTGTCTTTAAAAGTTTTGGTTCAATATACTTACTTACCTGTTGATCAAAAATAGCCTTAAACCTATACACTTTATTTATTTTTTATTTAGTAACTTTCAGGAGAGTGTACTCATTTTTGCATCACAACATTTTATCACTTTGATAAGAAAATCTTATTTTGCTGAATAATTTTGGCATTCTTCTTTGGTAATTGATCAAGCAGGCTTGTTGGAATATTGCATCTCCAAAGAACCCTAACATGTCTTCTAAGTAAAAAGTAATTTCTGAATTTGTAAAGTTTTAGAGGGGGTGTACTCATTTATGCTGTGCACTGTATGTATATATATATATATATATATATATTATTTCTTTATTTTTATTTTTTTGTGGAAACGGCAATACTTTTTCAGGACTCTTTGATAAAAAGAAAGTTTGAAAAAACAATGTATTTGAAATTAAAATATTTTGTTACAATGGTAGTCTTTTCTTATCACCTATAGGAAGAAGAGAAGGCATACATTTCACATACAGCTTGGCTATATGGTCATTTTATATAGCCAAGACATAAGTTAAGCAAGACCCTTATATACAGTGGGTACGGAAAGTATTCAGACCCCCTTAAATTTTTCACTCTTTGTTATATTGCAGCCATTTGCT